AAAAAAATAGGGACGGAGAAAAAGGAACGAGTACCGCAGATGTTGCCTAAAAGAGTTCTGAAAGCTCCGCGACCTACATGACGCATCGCCCCGGAACTTTGATATTCCCGGGACAATTTATTTATTTTGCGCCCTAGGTCACGTGGAAACTCGAACGTCGATCCGTGAAGTATGTCGCCGTTCGAGTATCGATCTGGCATTCCGATATTGTCACCGCTGAAGCAAAACCCAAACCACGCTCATCGATCTACAATTCTATGAAAGACATCGGTGAACAAAAATGATCAATGAAAAATTCAATACAAAAATTACAAAATAATGTATGTTCTTACAGAACAAAACCTTAGGAACCAAATTTTCAGTACGGATTCCACTGTTGCTGAAATATGTAAACTGTGTTTAGGAAGAAGAAAAGAAAATGAGGGTTCTAGTTACATTGTAAAAGAAACATAGAAAGAATATATTTCTATTCTAGAGATAATTTCGATGAAAAGTATTTCGTTTTATTTCAAAGGTAATTTCGATGAAAAATATTTCTTTAGATTTTGAAGATAATTATGTTAAAAATAATTCTTTAGATTTTGAAGATAACTATGTTAAAAACAATTTTTCTTATTTTGAAGAGAACTTCGTTAATGTTGGAAGAAGCAATACGAAAGATAATCGATAATATTCCGTAGTTTTTCGATCGGATAAATTACAGATTGACAGAATGTATGTACAATTCCGAGAACGAAAGGAGAGACAAAGGAAGAATGGTGCAGATAAGGTGCTCGAGAAAAGTCGAAGAGACGATCGAAGGCCAGTACGCGGTGCGCGTCGACCTCGATCACTGGCGTTCAGAATTTTGGCTCCGAACTTCCGCGCATCGACCGCCGGCGTCACGAGCCTCTATTTATGGACCGAGTGTTTCGAACGACAACGCGAATTTACTCGAGGACTCCATTTGCAGGCGCATGAAATATTTCGTAGTTAAAGTGCGACGGACCGATATACAATGGAAACGCTGAAATACTGAGAAATCTATTTCGCACGCGCGTCATTTATATTCAAACAAACAGCACGACTTTGGTAAAATCGAATTAAAATAAACGTTCAATTGTTATATTAAACGGAACAAAATATCCCCTACAAACACTGATTTCTTAATCACTTAACAACCCTGCCATACACGTTGTACGAATCAAATTTTTAACAATCAAATACAACAAACAATTAATTCAATTATTCATTCATTATATTGCAATATTGTATTCCAGATAACGAATTACTCTTGCTATTTTAAAATATGATCTTACCGAAAGAATACTTTAAGTAGAATGAGACCGCTTTAGTCAGACCAGATAGCAAGTGGAATATCCACATCATAATCAGACGTCCAATTGTTCGAAAAATGTTTTAACAAATAAAAAAATCTGCAGGAATGATGAACATTCATTTTCTTCGTCACGATTAAGAAATTAATGTTTCATATTCGAATCCCCGAGCGTGTGAAAAATGTATTACCGAACGAGTTTCCTTCTACGCGAATCGGATTTCAAGCAACTTTACAGAACTAATGATTCTCCGAGAAATCAGTCGGAATTGAACGACGCGACGCGAGCTCCCCAGGGCCGAAGCCTTAATTCTTAAATGAATTTTAACGCAAACCTGAAATCCCTCGGCTTTCTCGATACGTTTGCGCGAGCTAACGCTCCGGAAGATAAATCAGCAAAACGACCGAAAGAAAATCGCCGATAATTACACGCTATCAAATCGTTGCCGACGTACAAACACGATGGGGTGGAGGCCAGCCTTAATAGGGAGATTTTCCCCCAAGGATACAAATGAAAATGCGTAAGCATTTGCATCCCGAGGGCTACAGTACCGTTCGCCGAGATGTTTTTAAATTAATTTTAATGCGGTCTTAAGTCCGCGGTTCCTGCCGCCGGCAATAGAGGGTGTCATCCCCCGGAGCTCCGGTAATGAAATCTTAAAAGATTAATCACTTGCTACGACGAAAGAAAATTTTTTCCATTTCTGCTAAGAAAATAACGCGACATTTAGAAAAATGCAAACCGTGGCATTTTTATCTTGCATTTTGAAACTGTGAAATTCCCTGAATTGGTATTGCAATGTAATCTAACTGTAAGTGCTATAAATAGAATACGCAGTGCAAATCACGCACGCGAATAATATGATTATTCATATAAACTGCAGTAGAGTGACTTTAAATATCAACTAATGTGATCAAAATCTTCTCTTAATTACGTAATCCATTTCAATTTACCTCGTACGAGATCCATTACTGTGTAACATTATAAAATCATCTAAACAATTTTCTTACAAATAAATGCACATACCATTCACTTCGAAGATCATGCACCTTGAAAAGGTACATCAATAATTCTAAAAAGAATTTAGATAATAATGAGTCCTAAAGTAAAAAGCGAGGCGAAATATAAATCTACATTGAAACAATACAATATTACCAAAGAAATCTACTGCAAAGATCTATCAAGCCAGAATCGATTCAACGATGCACTGTTTCACAGTGAATATCGAGCTGGCGGTCCACGAGTGGTCGATAATTCGCGAGGGTGCTCGGTACCGGGCTTAACGATGTTTCGAGTGAGTTCGGTCCATAAATATGTCGCCGGAAGATAGTAGAAGTCCGCTGTTACCGGGTTCGATCGCGTGATCGGTTTTCCACGGAGGCGGGTCGATCAACGCGGAAGACGGGTGGCCAAGTGCAGGGTGCGGGGATCACACTTACAAGACTTACGATCGGCGTGTCTGGTCCTCTTGCGCTCCCTGGGCGTTGTTCTCGTCGCCGGCGTCTTCGTCGCAGTCTTCACTAACGATTCCAACAGCTCGTCGTCGCCGTCTGTCAGGTTACCGTTGGTATTCTCATCGCGGAGCAGCGGGCCCAAGGAGGTGCGTCCTGAAACAGGAATGTCAGGCGCGTTCAATACAGCTGATATTAAACCAGACCACTCTGACAATACATAGAATGTTTGTTAGCCAACGCCAAATAAATTTTGCTAGCTTCCAAGGGGAAAATAAAGACAGGATATAAATGTTATAACGTGTTCGTTTGTTGGTAAGAATAGTTATAAATGTTTGATAAGCAGAAAACAAACAATACCAAGGACAAGAAGTTAATTCATATTCTAGTGTTGCGACTGTACTTGTTATACTTGTAATTGGTGGAGACTGTGATTGCAACGGTACTTTTATCAATTACGAATAGGTGACGGTACTAGTTGTAGGGAAGACAGGAATTATTATTGCGACAATAACTATCATTTCTTCTGAATTCACCAAGAAATGAATGTTTAAAAAGTTTCTTCCTCGCGTAAAGTCATCGCCACCAATTTCTTCGTTTGCCGCCCCCGAGACAAAGGAGCGAACAATGAAAATTCTCGAAGGACAGACGCCGGGGATTACTCGTAGCAGCATTGTTTACGAAATATTCGTTTCATCTGGAGCAATTCCCAAGGCGTATAATTCGTCTTTTCGAAGGTAGCCGGCAGAAGGGTCTGCCGCGCGCACGCGCGAGCCCATTCTTCTTCCGCGGCGGCTCTTGGGCTAACTCCTCGCGGAACAGTCTCTTCCTCGTTCCCCGGTCCGCAGGGTAGAAACTTCGAAACCGTCAAAAGCACGGGGAGCTTCTTTGAGAGCTTCTTTGAAACTCGCCTGAAAGAAGCTTCCATCGGCGGTCTCACTGGCTGTGTAAATCCGATACGGACACGTACTGGCAGGGCGAAACGGCAGTCGGGGGATGGGGAAAGGGTCGAAGGCACGGGGGCGGGCAAGAAAAGAAGAACGGACTCGGAATTTCCATGAACAGGGAGAAAGAAAAGGCGAAGTTTCCCAGCGCGGTCAACCTAGTTAACACCGAATCGTCGCGGCGAGCTTTCCGAACCGCGGCGTCGTTCGCGGGTTCGGGGACGTTAAACGACTCCAATTTTATTCCTCGCGGTCGACTCCGCTGGAACCGCTTGATGCCCGACGCGTTTGAAATACCGAGCGATCGCATGAATGTGTAAATTGAGTTCGCGTATTCATGGAAGTTCGTCCGTCACCTTGACGAGATTCCAGATTCCATCGATCTCGCGCGCCGGAAAAAAAGGAGCCGCGCGCCACCCTGCTACGGACAGAGTCATAAGATTTACGGAAAACTATTAGCGCTGTAATTGCCGAATAATCGAATTCAAATTTTTACATTTTCTTGTCGAAACCGTGAGGGTGCGTGTGTCGTGATTTCAATTGACTTGTGATTCAACGTTAGCACTCGCAAGATTTACGGGGAATTATTGGTGTTAGAACTATCTAATAGTCTAATTAACGTTTTCTATTTTTCTACTTCTATACCGGTATATATTTTTAATAAACTCAATGCTAGCCGCAGCCGAAACCCCGTATCACGAGACAAAGAGTTAATTTCCAAAAGACGACACGCCAAACACGGGGAAGCTCGAAACACTATTAAACCGTACTTACATTTCGATATAATCATAATCGAGCGAAACTCGCCGTTTATCCCCAATAAAACAATCCACTTCAGGAAGGAACGAAAACTCTCGATAAAAGCGGGTGGCGATAGTACGGGCCGGCCGGAAAGCTTTTAAAAATACAGTCTCGGTCCGCTTCACGTGGACCGAAATAAAAAGTTCGCCGGAGTCACGTCCCCGCGAATTAAAATCCCGCCACTTTATTCCAGCCCTATCCCCCCGCTTCGTCGGTAATATTTGCCGAACCGTCCGCCGTTTCATTAAAACGTTCTAAATCCTTCGGACTGGTTCTGAGCGGGGCGCGTACAAAAATCCCGCTCGTTCCCTGCAGGAGAAGGAGAGAACCGATCCGAAACCCCCTCCTCGCGTCTCTCCGGTCTCGTTTCAGCTTCAGAGGGTGGGGGAGCAATCTCGACACGAATACAGCCACCCTTAACCGTGTCCCACGGATATGAATGCAATAACGGACCGGAAGAATCCCGGATCCCGTTGAATCCGCCGCGACAAATCGTGATCCCGGCAGACTCCGAGGATTCGTGCGTCTTCAGGTGTTCCCGGGCCCGACGGACAAAGGGGACGTACGGGTCGTCTGTGTGGAAGGTGCGGGTACGACTTAGGCGGAGCGTTTAGGTATTTTATAGAGGAGCATACACGGGAATAAAGGGGAGAAAAGTTATGATGGCCGTCGGCGACGGCAACGCGCGAGCACCCGGCAGAGTTTACGAGCCGTAAAGAAGGGGCGGCTTCGTTCCATCCCCGCGTTTCATATTTGAGTCCGCAAGAGCAGGAATAAAAATTCCGTCGTCGACGGCCGAGGCCACGATCCCGCGTGACCCGGCCGTCCATCAGTTTCGCGCTTTGTCCGCCATTTTCGGGCGCGCGCCGCGATCCCCACCGGTGACTAATTCCGCCATAGAACGGCCGAAGTTATGGCGGGTCGGGCCTCGATCGCGCGGAAATGGTGCCGCAATGGGATGGCTCGGAGGAGATTGCCGCCCTACTGGGAAGAATGCGGACGCGCGACGTTTTTTCGTGCTATAGGGCGTTACGTTCTACGCCTTTGCGGAGAGCGTTTTAAGAGTCTCTGAGCCAGGCTTTGCAGTGTGAAAGGATGATTTTATATTTTAGTTATCTGTAATTTAGGGGATACAAATGATTGTAATTAAATTTAGATACTAACTTTAATTTGCGTGAAAGTATATTATTTGAACGGAATAATATCCTATTTTAAAATACGAAGGGAATTTACAAAGTTTTCTTGAATCTCTATCGTCGTGAACTAGTCTGAAAAATGTTCCATAGAGTTACAAATCTGGTAAACAGCGTGTCTTCTCAAAGTTGTTCTTTGGGTTTTCCTGCTTCTTGCAACGAAAAAATTCGTTTACTTATTTAAACGTGCAAACAGCCCTAGAATAGTTGAATTTTCATAACTGCGGGAGGGTAAATTCGCGACACTATTAGACGTATACCGATTGGGCGTATACGAATACCGAAAGAAGGTCACTGGATCAAAGCGCCAGCTGTGCATCAATAAACCATAAAAAGACAGCGATGGCTCCTCGAAAAATTAAATTACATAACGCCGAACTACGAACGGAGGAAAATCTCGCAGAGAAGTCGAGAGTAAAAGGAGCGGAGTGAAAGAGAGCCACTCCTCCGGCTAGGGGCGACGCGGCGAGTCTCGGAAAACTCGATCCCCGCTTTTCTCCGAGTGACGAGAAACCGGGTCAGCGATGCCTCCCGAAATCTCGATGCCGTTACTTTTCATTTTCCGGTAACGCCGTCAAACGAGTCCGCGCTTTCCCACAGTATCTCCCGGCTGGAGAGCGTTTGCTTAAGGAGAGCATTTATCTCACACCGCCACCGGCTAGAACATTACGGGAACGAGGAGAAATTTTCGCACTTTGTTCTTATCTTCGACGTAGGTTTCCGGGGTAGAGAGGGCGGTTGGAGGCTTACCCTTTCAAGGCAACGCTGGTGTTCATCAATAATTGAGAAATGTTATAAACGTTGGAGGGATCAATCGATGAATCTATAGTGATAGAAGCCACGAAAAATCGAAAAATAAAGGTTCTTCGAACAGGTGATCTTCTTAGACATTTGAGTGCATTAATTAAATTACTCTTTTGATCATTTGCAAGAAACATGTTTAAATTGTCAGAATTGCTCGATCAAAATCACGAAAACATACAATTAGATTATTTTCCCGAATCTTTCGCAATCGACGCAATAAGCTAAAGCGAAAAGTCGAAAAGCACCCATTGCGCAGCCCAGCGGCGACTTTGAGACTGAAAAAATTCATTCCCCCATGGAGAAAAGAACAAGCTGGGACAGGGTGGCTTGTTTCGCGAGGCCAGACGACATGGGAGACGAAACAAAGCAGGAAACAGAAAATGCGAGACCGTTGCAACGATTTCTGTCCTTCGATCGGCGAGAAAGGGGCGTGGGGTGGCGGGTGGTGCAACGAGCAACGGTATTATTGCGTTTTATTGCCGCGCGTTCCCTATCCCACGGTTTCGCGGAGCCAGACATCGCGTAATGTAGAAATATGAAACTTGTCGAGGACAGGATATTAGAATGCCACGATCAATGTGCGCGGCCGACGGAAAAGGGATTTATGTTTGCAAATTGCGTCCCGATGTTCGACCGCACAGTAGGTACGCATTGCCGATTATTTTCGCTTAATATAACGACGCTGAAAATGACTTGCGACGGGTTCTAGCTTGGTCTCGTGAATAAAAAGCCGTGTTTGGATGTTCTTGTTATTCGTTACATATTTTTCGAATGTATTTCAAGATTTGCACATATTTTTAGTCTTATAATAAAAATTTATTATTTCTGTTTTTCATTTTTTCACGCTACCACGCACTTGTCCTTCGTACTTTTGTTATTTGTTTTATTATAGCTTTATACGTCAATACGATCGAAACACTAGGACCTGATATTTCTAACATTTCTGTGCGACGTGAAAAGACGCCAACGATAGTGACGGCGTTAATTTGACAGCAGAGACACAACGAAAATGGCTGGCACTGCAGATGAAGTTAAAAATTAAGAATAGCATTAAGATCATCCGGAAGTCAAAGGTAACAGTTACTAACAATATTTACCGTCGCCATAAATAAAATAAAGTTAATAAATTATAACAGACCGAGACGAATCTGATTTTCTTCTGTTCGACGGTAAAGAATTACAGATACTCAAACATTAATAATAAAAATCGGGAAAGAATTTTGAGATTCCTGACATATAAGAAATAAGAATTGCGAAGCATAATTTGCAATATGACAAATATGAATTAGATCGTTATTTCAATCCGATTCACCTGTGATCCGATTCGTTCCGGTCTACCATGAGTACACGACAAAGCCTCACGCGTTTAAAAGTTATAGCGATCGATCGCAGCCGAAAAAACCCCGCATAATAAGCATACGCCTAACAAAAGACAGAAGCTCGATCGGCTGAAAAGAAGAAGAGAAAGATGGAGGCGGGTAGTTACTGGTATAAACAGAAAGGAAGCAAAAAAGACGAACCGGAAACAATACTCACCGTCTTTCCTCTGTCTCCTCCACGGCAGGGTGCCGTGAATACTCTCGACGTCGGAGATATCGCTTCCGAGCAGTTGCCTGAGCTCCGCGTCCGCACGGTCCTCCTTCGTCCTGAACTTGCCAACCTGCAACGATCAGAGGAGACATCGGGCTCACGGATTCCGGCGCAGCGTATTCCGGCGAGACGATATCGCAGAAATGAAAACGAAGGACAAGCGGGATATTAATGCAACGGTGGGCAAGAAAAGAAATTGATTCTCTCCACGGCAAAAAAGCAATTTATTCCCTCCGCCCCCTCGAGCTCTTTAGCTGCGGGGCGAAGCGGCGGAAAGGGATGAAAAGAGAGAAATTTGGTGGCCGCTGGAGAATGTAAGAGGGATGGAAAGCGAGAGGGAGGGAAGAGCACCATAATGCCCTTCACGCTCCGATAACTGTATTTGATGAGAGCGGAGCCACCGAAAGACTTTCAGCGGCCGCGGTACCCTAGAAAAATACGAGGAACCGTCGTGTAACTCACCTCTGTGATCATCTTCCCCCTGGTCTTATTTCTCTCACGGTGATTGGCTTTTTTCTCGAGCTGCTGTATCACCCGCTCGCGGGTGGTTCGGTACTCGAGCGCGAATTCGGACACGATACGGCAGAACTCGTTCGGCTTGGTGTCCTGCACCCTGTGCAGCGGGGTGCCTAGCCATAGGATGAATTTATGGAACCGATTTATGATCCGCCTGTGCACGATCCCCAGCACGATTATCCTCTCCGCGCAGTCCGCCAGGAAGTCCGACATTCTGAATGAACACACAGAGAGAGGGTAGCAAAGCTAGGGGAGGCTCGGAACCGTTTTCACGCCTTTCAAAGTGAAATAAATCCAGCTAACAAACTGTACTGCGCCGTTCGACGATCATTTTTTTTTCTCTCCGACGAGCGAATATTTTGTTTCCTCCTTCTCATTCCCGTAGAAACGCGAACGTTTCAGTTGCTCGTGTTTTGGATTTGTAAGTATAGCGGACTTTTTGCCCGGTTTTTGGTTTATTCGAGAACTTGGCGTAGCGATTTAACGGCGATATAATTATCGGTTACGTGAATCGAGAGTGGAATAATAGATTTATGGATCTATGAATGTTTCTATGCTTTCAAAGTTGAGTCGGAAAGATACCGATCTAGAAATTTCTTACAAACTCTCATCAACGAAAGGCGCAAATTTTATAAATTCAATCGTCTCTTTGAAAGTAGATATATTTTAGACAATGAAGAATTCTATTCTACCCCGCATATTATCAAAAGAAAATTAAGAGATCTTATTTCTTAAAATACGATTTCGTTCGTACAATCTTTTCCGATTCAATCGCGTTCTCATTTTGTTCAAAATATTTTCAAGCTTGGGAATACTATAAGAAAATTGTTACTAGTCCATGTATTCTTATATTTTTAATATTTCACGAGTATAGATAAACTGCGAGGGTCATAGCCGGGTTAAAAGAAATATCGCGAAGATGCCGTCCCGTCAGTTCGCAGATACCCCGGCGAATCGATCTCGGCGAATTTTGTACAAGAAAAATTCCCATTACTCTCGGTCAGGTTCGGGGCGAGCATACCTTGAGGTCCGCGAAGACGATCGGTCGTAAACGAATTCCGGACGGAACCGAACGAACGAACCCGTGGCCCTGGCATTTAGGGCGTCCCGTTACAGTTAATTGCCACGGGCACGTGAAGCGCGCCGATATTAACGACACGTTCCACTGTTAAACAATATATCCGATGCCGGGTTCGGCTTAAGGTACGCTTACAGCGAAGCTGCGATACTGGATCAGAGAGAAGACGAGAATTTTCTGAGGATTTTTCTTCGTAATCTCAATAATTGTAAAATAGAATGTTTGAAATGGCCCATTTAGGTTTGTGCAATAGTTTCCGTGTTAACCACTATAATTTTTTTCTCGACTATGATCAGTGCAATCAATATTAATAATTTGTTGAAGTAAAGACGGAATGATGAGGAAAAAACAATATCATATTGCTTTCAATAGTAGCCATAATCAGTTGAAATGGTAATAATTAAATTCTTGAAGTTAGTTCATACTTGCATTATATTACAATTTAACTCTAAACCCAGACGGGTCAAAATGATGCATTCCTGATTTCTTCCTTTTACAATTATTGAAAAGGTAACAGATATTTCTATGAGAAGTTATTAAAGAAATTGATTTACCAATACGCAAATTGAATTTTAGATTAATTAAAGTCTTAATAGATGCAATATTGGAGTTTCTATGGAGATCGTTATTAATGTTCAATTGAAACTTAAAGAAAATGAGTGGTATTATGTTTGTCGAATTCTGTTTCAAGTCATTACGGGTCTGATACGATAATATAAGACAAGGAGTTAAAAGCGGGCCGCGAATGGCAGCGCTTCGTCGCGCTTCTCCGACGCCCGCAATTAAGTACGAGATTTGTCAGGTCCCGGGCAACGCCATTGTTCCCGTTCACGGTGAACTGTAATATACGATTAAACGCGCCCTAACGCATGCTACCGGCGAACAAAGGAGCTCGTAAACGGGCAACCTTAACGATGGCCAACAGCCTGCCCGGAACAATACCGGGAGCATTCGGACTAATTGCCGATTGAAAACGCATTTCTTCCTTTCCCTGAGTAGTGTTACCGTGGGCACTGGACGTGAGAGGGGACGAGTGTATCCGACTTTACTTCGAATTTTAGTAAATGGCTTGAAATAGTTCAGAATCTAAACTTTGAGCGTATTTGGAAGGAAGAGCTGTTGCATAAGCAATTCATTTGTCAAGGTGATTGATTCTGCGAAATGGACAATAGAAAATTTGATAGAATTATAAACGGAAATAATTAATAAAGTGTTTTAGCACTAAATTTGGAAAATATTGGAGAGGTTGAGGTAATCTAGTCTTTGAGTGACACGTGTAAGTCACTGCCAAAGTAAAGTCGAGGGGATGAATAAAGTTGAAGGAATTTGTAGAATTAAATTATTGGGAAACGAGGAAAACGGGTTTATTATTGGACTTACAAATAATTAAGAAATTACAGATATTTATTTTAGTTTAGTGAGTAGATCGTATTGAATCTTTTTGAAGATTTTATATATTTAATTCTAATTAAACTCTAGTTTGACGTGAATTCAAGTTTGTCTGATGCTTGGCTCTTTCTTCTCTTTAATTCACATTTGCCTGTTAGTGCTATTTATTTTAAACGCGGCGTGTACAATATGAAATATGACTAAATGTAAACTAAGGAACAGGAAACAAGGTGATATAGATTGAATGGATGCTGCAATGAAGAAAGCATTACTTCTTACGAGTAGACTGCGGATGTGCAAATTTCCTGTTTTATGGACCCTTTCGAAGAAAACAAGATGGAGGATAAAGTTCCATCAATTAAGGAGTTCTTAATTGAAGTATAATAATAAACTAAACAGTGAATTCCTGTTTTGACTACTAAGCGGCGCGATTGCGCTTCTCCGTTAAACTGTCTAAAAGTGTCACTCTATCGGTTCGCAAAATCACATTAACTTTATTTATTTGTCTTCGGTTTAATTATTTACTTTTGTTATCACCTGCTCAGGAATGGAAAAATGAAACGATCGCGCTCTTTATAATCTTTTAACAAATGTTGTAATATAAACACCATATAATGATGTATCGAACTTCGTACCCGAAAATAAATTCGCTTTAGTGCATAAATATTTCCCTCCGTGCTTTCAGTAAAATTGATTTATTTCCGTACATTAATGAAGCAAAGTTTCAATTCCATGTTTTTCCACGGAAAATCAAATAATTAGGTTTAAATCGACTTTTATTCAAATTCCTCCGTTCGTTTTTATTACACAGTGCAGCGATATTCTTTTTTATTAATAAGTCACCGTGACAGCGAAATTTCCAATTTATAAACATTTGATCGCACGGGACGCGCTATGAAATCTGATTGCAGCCAAATCCAGATTGAACAGGTTATCATGCAGATTACCGGGAGATATAGTTTAAACGCTTTGCATGCAGTTCAATCGAACAATTAAAACCTACGATCGAACACAAATATAGGCAAACTGCAGAAGCTTGTCAATCAAGATGAACAACTCTAAAAATGCGAGACATTAAGAATTGTACCATTCAAGGATTCCTAATATTTCCCGCAATACCATCGTAACAACGAAACGATAAAAGACATAAATCGTCAAGTTCCAGTTTCAGTAAATCAATTCCAAAGAATTGCACAGAAATCCACCGTCCAAATATAATATCTCCATGAACGAAACTTTCATTCTACATCATCCGATCACATCTTTAAAACAAACTGCGCCTAATTACCGTGGATAAAGGAAAAGTAATAAGGGAAAGGAGCGAAATACTATTCGGTATAGCTGACTTAGATAACGTCCGTTCAGGGGGATGAAGAGACGCAGATAAAAGGTCCGTAGATCCACCGCGAAACTCGAAGTAGGTGCAGGGATAAGGTGAAATAGAAAAAGAAAGAATAGAAGAGAAGGAGAGGGAGAGAGAGAGTGGGAAAGAGAAAAAAAATGGAGTTAAAGGGACCGGGCAGGAAGTCTGACCAAGGAAGGAAGAAATACGCTTTCGGTAATTAATGGTGGTGCCATTTGGAGCGGTGCCAGATTCGCCCGCGCGATGGTGGGGCGGGGAAAAAAAGTCTGTCGCGAATTTATCGAACGCTTCTTCCTCGGATCCAGTGACTTTCGCGGCGGAACTTGCCGAAACTCGGGTTGTCCCGGCGGTAATCGGAAATGGAACCGCCGTGGCACGCGGACTGACACGGGAACACGTTCCACCGGTGGCACTTACTTGACTTTCATCATGGTGGAACCGTCGTGTTTCGCGATCAGCTTGAGATGGTCCCAGGACGCCTTGCACTCGCTCTCCAGTTTGCCGATGTTCGACGCCAGCTCGTCGAAATCGATCTTCGAGGCCCTCGTCACCGCGCCGATCTGAACAAAATGCGTAAACGATACGGATTACGCCGCGTGGAAAATTATTCCTCAGAATCTCGTTATTAGTTTCGTATAACACGTTGACAGAGAATACTTAACCCATTTGCATCTTCGCTCTAAATGCGAAGCTTACTTTATAAATCAGAGATGCTCAACTGAAAGTCCTCCCAGGTTTTGATTGGAATTAATCTGCTCCGACCGATATAGCCGAGTAACATATACACAACTAAAAGTAATTATATGCAGAATGTCCCGATTAACGATGCATATGGATTAAAAGAGTTCCGTACGCGAGTGATCAAATTTGACGATTCGGTTAATGATATTCAATGTCGTTTCCAGTGAAACACGATTCATGTAAAAGCAATTCCTCGGAGTACTTGATATTTAAGTGGATATACTGTTTCGTAAGTATACGGAAATGATTTCGTTATGATTCAAACAATAGATGAAAACTGGAATTCATCTCTTTGTTCCTCCATTTTCCAAACATCCTCAACGAACTCGAACAAGAGCGGAACTCGACGCAAGTAAGAAACCATTAAGCAGCCCGAGGTCCCTTTAACCGCGACAAAATTGGAAACGATTCTCGAATAAGACGCGAACCGCGCGGCAACCGTCGCGGCGTTGGCGGAATTTCACGTAGCAGCGTTTCAAACAGTTCCCCCGCAGAGTTTGCCGGGGACGCGGAGAGAACTTCGCGATTTCGCAAATGCGGCCCGGGTTATTCCGTCTTACAACCGGTTGAGAAGTCCGCGGGAGCGCAGCCAGCGCGTTCGGAACTAAAGTTTTCGCCCGGAAGTAAAGCGGCGGCACTCACCTCCGAATAGAGATCCGTAGAATCCGGAAACTTCTCCATCACCATGTGGCAAAGGTGATGAAGCAGCGAGTGCTTGTGAACCGTATCCTTCACTTCAGGTACTTTGGCGAGGTATTCCAGCTGAAAGCCCTTCACCTGAAAAAGGCAGAGAGAGAGGACGTGTCAGCGTTACGCGACGCCCGGAACCTCGTGTGCGCGCCGGCCAACTTCGACCCTTCGGGCTTCACGCCGGACGCTTCCGGCCACTTTCCCCGTCTAACGTAATCCTCGCGGAAACCTGTAGTCGACAGGCATGGCTGTCTTGTGTACGGTCCGTCTACCACTCGACGGTCAGGCTGAGGAATGCGGGCCCAAGACAGTTTTCAATTTTTCTAGTTTCATTTTAGATACCAGTTTGCTACTCGTCAATACGGTTATATGTATTCAGTCGAAACTATAAATGAAACACATAGAGAGAGATTTACTGTGTTGTATCGCTATCTATCAAGTGGTAAACGGACTATACGCTATTGTTGCGTTCGAATCATTGGATTGAACTCTATAAACTTTCTATTCTATTTATTCAGAAAAATGATAGATGAACTTTAAGATATACCAGCAAGGAAACAGAAGTATATTAGAAACAACTGCAAGAAATAACGAAGATGAATAATCGAAACGACTGATCGTTAAGCCTCGCAGAAATTAGCGAACGTATTTATATGGAAATAATCCTGCGTCAACTGGAGAAATACATTTACATAGAGATAATTATTTCTGGAATTCGATACTCAAGGAGCACCCAGTATATTCACTTTCGACCGGCATCGAGTGGAGCAAGACCGCGTGAAATTCTAAGAGGAAAATTTAACGAGCTGAATAACAAATTTTATTCAACCTCGGGTCCGTTTTTGCTAATTTGCCGGGGACCACGGGGAAAGGGGCTCGGTTCACGTCAGCTGCGAGCCCCGCGGCCGCACGACAACCTCAATAAATGAGCGTGTCGTGTAAAAACACACCGAACAACGGCGCCGAGAGGAGCGATAAGAAATTATTAGTCAAGCGGCCGCAAAGAATCGTTGCGGTTAATACATTCGAAAACGGAAGTGAACGATGACGAATGAAAAGGTATCGCAGCGCGCGTAAGATAGGGCTCGCGCCGTGTATACACGGTGTACGATTACACGTACCAAGATTGCAAGGGTTGATTCTACGAGCAAAAGTAAGACGAAAATCAAGAGCGATTGAATTGCGGTTTCAACATCGTTCTCAGGATTTCTGTCTCTTTTTCGTGCGCGGAACGTCAGTGAACGCTACTGACCTGCCTCACGCGTGCGCTATTAGCGCATCGTCGTGGTTCACAGTGATTTTCAATCGTCGATGATCTGAAAACGAAGCTGAAACCACAATATCGTTGCTCCTCGTTTGTGTCTCATTCTGAATTAAAGATATATTAAAATAGTCGCTATACAAAGTTAATTATATTAAAGAGTAAATACGTAAATGATAAGTTTAATCAGTTTATAGATAATAATGAGATGGTCACTTGGACGATATTATGAATGCTGTAAAATACGGTTTACAATGAAATGAATTAATTTCGTTGTTATTACATTAATTAATTCCTTTAGTATAATTGAGAATCAGGTGATCCGCACTGAAATACCGTGTACACGCGTGCGTATATTCGTGCGAATCTACTGTTTGTGTGATTTCATATCAGGCGTCCAGCTGCGCCGGGCACGAAAGTCATCGGACTGTTTGCGTTTCGTGCGAATCGAAGCGTCGTTTGCTTAGTTTAAACAACAATTTTCGTTATTAATGTTACTTGTACCGTTCGAACGCGAATACTTCTTCCTGTTAGACGATTCTATTTGCACGGACGGTGCGTAATTTCGAACGGACGCTTCACGAGAGGTTATTATAGAGCGTTATCATTTTTTTCAGAAACACCGAGCTAATTAGCTAATCGAGACAAGTTATCAGATCTTGCATTTCACGTAACCGACATTATCTTTCATACCATTAAGTCTCATCAAATCTACTTCATACAAGATGACAGAACAAATATTTAAAATTTTAAACAAACCTTAGTACTTGCTCAATTCTACACGAATCATAAGATCAATCCATACGTCTCATAAGAAACGAAAAATCCTTGACAACTTAGAAACTACTACTTTCTCGACCCAAATATAATATATTAATCATACAATTTTTCTCCTCCATTCAATGACCACTATCCAACTTCCAAATCCTTTTTCCTTACCACTAAACTACCAACTTTTACGTTAACTCATTTTGAAGAACACGATTGGAAAACTAAAATTGCGGTAGAAAGTGTCTCCTAGCAAACATTACAAAGGGCACTACACTTCAAACATTTCACATAGTTCCTCATATCCTATGCATCTCATGCATTTCCCCTCCAAATGTTTTATAAAACCATGAGAATCCGCAGTCCACTCATCACCGACTACATAAAGAGCCTCGTAGAAGGCGTGCAAAACAATGAGAACGTTTCTTTTCCAGACCGCGGACCGCAGGAACGCAAATCATGCGAACGGTAACAAGTACCGTCCACGTTTCACCATTATCGAACAAAAGGGAGGCGCGATAGGCCAAGAGTTTCCGATTTCGGGGGCCATGGCAGCCGGCCAAGATGAGAAGAGGGGGAGTAGACGGTTCTCGGTCCATTCCTCCCCTTCCTTCCGTATCAACGGGCAACGGTTACACGAAAATTATCGACGCGGATGGATATCGATTCCGCGCGAACGGCGTCTACCGCGGACGGATTAAGCGGATATCATTTGGCTGGCATTCAATACCTACCTCATTTCCGTTGAGGAATATCCCGATCGAAAGGAGCGTGCTCAGAATCCCGCGGAACGTTTTATTCACTCGGAGGGTCTCCATTCCCTGCTTCAGATCCATCAAAGGTTCCGCAATTTCCTGGAGTCACAAAGGTGGTTCGCGATTATTTCTTTCGCAGCCGGCGCCCAGCCGACGGCCCGTTGTGTCGAGACGGCCGCGATCATCCTCTCATACTTCCACGGATTCCTCGAGCGAGCGCCGCGACGAAGCGCAGGCTGCTTGCTTTTTCGACGACGATTCCGCCGGAAATCATTTCCGTCGCGCATAGGATCCACGCCGGTGGTCAAAGCGGTGTTCAGAAGACGCGTAATAAGGAGAAATGGCATTGTTCGAGGGCGTCTGATAGCGACCTAACAGTTAAAGGCTAGAGACTTTTATCGCGATTATAAGATCAGCGTGTAGTGTTCGTTTGAATTTTCTCGAGTAACTTGATAGGCGATTTCGACGTTTTGGGAATAATTATTTTTAAAACATGAAATCTTCATATCTCCCCAGAGAATAATCTGCAACTGTGTAAAGATTATACAGGTTGTATCTGTTCGTCAGAAGTGAATTGCAGATTGGCGAACGTCACAAACAAGCGAATATCCGTCGAAGTCGAATTATATGATTCCTATCGAAGAATGTGCCCGTCGACTTCTGGGCCGATTATACACCGACCGAAGCGTTTCGCGCCCTCCAGGCGAGGCGCCATCGTTCCGAGACAGTGATGCACGTCCCGTTCACGGAGCACGATCGCGTATCGGTATTCGCCGTGTTCACGGCAAAGAAATCGCGCGATTATGCGGGGAACGTTCACCCGCGACTTCCTTCCCCGCATACCTGGCGTTTTTCCTCGTCACGCCGGGGACTATCTCCGTGGAATTCGAGACGAGATTCGTGAGAAATAACGGGCCAATTCGATCGCTATTACGACGCGCGCATTCGTATTCGACGTTGCTTAATAGAATTTGCATTCGGAATGACATGCAGCTTCTCGTATAACGTTGCATTTACCGCACGTCGTTCCAGCTAACGACCGACGGGAGGCGTAACGAGAGAATCGCATCGTCTTCGAATTGTTCTCTCTCTTACTCTCTCTCTCTCTCTCTCTCTCCCTCTCTACAGACCGACCGACCGACCGACCAATAGTTCCGTCGATGAATTCAATTAATGTTACTAATCAAAACTAATATTTCATCAAATTTAATTGGCAGGCGATCCCAATGTCTCCAATAAGATATTCTACCTATATCTCTTTCAATCATAACTGAATCATAACTAAATTAAGGATGCTACCTTTCGTTCGATTCAATTGCGTTTAATATAATTTCGTACTGTTCAACGTGTCCATGATACTTCGTACTATTCTTCAGTTTGTTTCTTTACTTGTAATATTTACTCTACTAACGTATCATTTGCAAACTGCAAATAAAACAAGAATCTTGTCGCTATTTAACCCAGTTGACTAACCAAGACCACAGTAACAGTTTAGACAGGATGAATATTTAATTTCTCTAACGTCTACGGTTTAATAATATCGGTTCCCATTATCAGGAAAAACGGAAGTCGAAAGATGATTCGCGAACGCGACGGGTGATTCGCGTCGACACAACGAGACCGCTCGGCGATCGATGAATCCGGCGGAACGCCGAGGCTTGCTTACCTTCTCCGAATTCTCGAAGTCCAACTTGAACGCCCAAAGTTTCAGTCTGGCGGGCAACTCCGAGATGGAGGCCAAAGTTAGAAGAAACTGCTCGGCCGATCCCAAAGGTAGGTCAGGATTGGCGGCCTGCGCCTCTTGTATCCTCGACCTCTCCTCCTCGGTCGGCAGCATCGTCAGTAGTTTCTGTCGCGTGCGGGGGCGGAACGGGGACGGTTGGACGGGTGGCGAGCCGAAAGGACGAGCGGGGACGGGGCGGCGAACGAAGAAAAGAAGAATCGAACAACGAAATTAGAGAAATCAGAGTAAAACCACGGAAGAGCGGGGCACATGCGCGGTCTGAACGGAACCTATCGAGGATTGAACAGCGAACCAAGAATCGTGACCGGCGCGGTAACGCTCGCGATCGCCGGTCTCTAACGAAATTGGGATTGTGACGAGTGCTACCTTTTTACAGGGGAGGAAAGTAAGGGACAAGCGGAGAAACGTCAGACAGGTCTCTTCGATGCTTCGGGGTGGCGTGATAGCTTTAGCGTTTATTGACACGTCGGCTGCCGACGGAGAACGGAATGCAACGTGTTAATGCGCTGTCAATAGACTGCGGATATTTACGTAGTTCTTCATTCTTATAGATTCTTATATAGAGAACGGAATAAAGGAAATGTTTATGTTGATTGACAGATACTTTATGGTAAAAATGAAGGAGACATTTGTTATTTCTCATATTAAGGTTTGTCGGAATAAGACAGTCGACGTGTCAACTCGTTACAATTTCTACGGTGATTGTGTTCGTAGGATACCGGGTTAAAACAGACACATGAGACTCTATAGAAGAAATGAATAATGATGGAATATTATATTCTGAGCCTAAATAGACCCGATATCCATCGAAAGACGATTGATACTTTTTAAGTCAGATTTCTGTAAAGTTTTCAGATAGGAAGTAAAGGTATTAGTGAAATATAGACGTATAGATATATCTGTGATTAATAATCTTCTTGGTAATGGATGATAAAATGATGTAAAGAATGTTCGAAGTGTAATAAAAGTATACAGTGGAAATTACAATGGTTTTCTTACCTCGATACCTTCCCGGTTCATAATGGTCGCGTCCATTTTTAAGATGGCGGTCTTGATCGATCTCGGCGGCGGCAACTTGGTCATCCCGATATTAATAGCGTTCGATCGTTTGTGGTCTAACACGATGATCTCCTTGTTCTTGTTCATCTCTTGCTGTTTCTGCTCCACGACAAACAAAACAGATTTTTAGCCGAGACGAAACGGGATCGTCGAACATCGGGAACCAATTTCACCAAATTCACTAAATTTCGATCTATCTGATTGTGTTGCCGTTTAATTACGCTACGAACACTCAAAAATCGTGAAACTCATTCAGAAACGAACACCGTGCACGAGTGGTTTCCAAACGAGACACGGGCCCGTCCGGCGGAAATTGTAGTATCTAACAAGCAAGCGCACGTCAAATATTTATGGGGACAGTGGAACGAAAATTTCGGCCGAATGGGAAAACGCGGCGATGCCACGAACGCGTCATCAATCGGCCCGGAGCAACATTATTGTCAGTGGAACGAAATTAGCGGAGCCGATAGCGAACAATGCGCAACAATGGCCGCCGCCACGAATATTCGGACCGCATGTCATGCAAGGAACACAGCCCGAAGCACCGACGAAGAATGGAAGCCGAAGCTAATTATACTTATGACTATATATAATTATAATATATATAATATACTATATAATAACATTATATTATTATTATATATTATTATTTTATAGTATATTATATATAATATAATCTATATAGCCCGTAACATGCAATCCGAAAGCAGGTTCGCCGAAACTAAAATATTTTGTCGGGACGAATGCATAAAAGAGTTAATAACAAAAAGGATAAAACAGTCGGCGCACAAAGGGGAACTGTAACGTTCGATACAAACAATTACAAGCGAAAAGACATGAAAATTTATTTGTCGAAATGCATACCGGAACCTATCAAACAAAAACGCGAATTGTAATTTTGTCGAAAAATTCGTAGAATACGAATATACCTTTTGATGCATCGAACAGAGCTAATTAATAATTGTAATTAATAACTGTCTGTAATCAGGAAATGTATCAACGTACGAGGTAATCGAACAATTTTAATTATCGAAGGAAAAATAATCATTAGCGTTTTTCGTTGATTAGCTGCAAGCAGGTAAATTGCAAATGAACTAATTGTAAGATGAAGATGATGAAGAAGAAGAAGAAGAAGAAGAAGGAAACGTTTTTGCGTGGATTGATGCAGGATTAGAGAAAACAGGCGTTAAGTGAAGTTAAGAAATTAGGACTCACCTCCTGTAAAATTCCATTGCATGCCATTTCGTTCATTTTTCGTGCGAGCACCAAGAATATTGCAAATAATACAAGAAAAGATTAGTCGTATTGCATTAAACCACCATCACCAACCACCCAACCGCTATCCGACGCAAGTATTATTACCATACGCGATTATTATCACGGGGCATACTTATAGTTACTGACGATATTAATTTACCGCGTGTTATTGTTAAAGTTACTTCGTTAGATTAACGAAACCTGTAATATTACACCACGATCGCAGTAATATCACCCATCGATCGTGAAGACGATTTTAACAGGATAGGATGCGAAGATTCGGTATAACATAAGAACATTGCTTGCCATTACGATTAATTATTGTTCCTATTTAAGGTAATATTAAATTCCTCGTTAAATTATGAAAGGATAAATATGTAAATTTCAATAACTTCGACATTATTCAGTGTGTTCTGTGCTATTACGAATTTATTCAGTGCACGTAATTGAGAAGAATTCGCGCATGTGCTGCAGAATAAACAAGAAACATAATAATTTCATCATTTGCGTGTTATTTTAATGAGAGTACTTTTAGTGCATCAGCAATTATCGCGATTAAATACGTAATTATTGCAATAAAAAAAATATGTTATAAATATAAAAACAATTATGGTGAGTTACTTTCTTAATTGATATTATATACATACAGTTCTTCGCTGTTAATTTGACTCAATTATAAATCGAAGGTGGAAACGACACGAGTATTTAACCAAAGCTTCCTATATTACCACTTAAAACTATATCAGATACATCAGAATTCTATTCCCTTTTCTTATGATAAATAAATCAGTCACAAAAATGCGCAAAACCACTTGAAATTTTATTCCAAAGATCGTATTGAAGAGTTCTACGCGAGTATCGCTGGGACGCGAACAGAAACCGAAGAGAACTTGTTGCAAGGAGCGCGTAACAATATCCTTTAAACGAACTTCTAACAAGTACCCCCGTCCACACAAAGTGCTTTAATTCCGAGGTGCATAAATAATGCAACAGCGTAGGCCCCCTCTCGGCGAACGACGGAGCAAAAATCTCTCATTAGCAAGAATCGTATTTACACTAATTATATTTGCCCAGGTCAGCTCTAATTGGCACACGCAATTACCATGAACTTTAAATATCCCATCATCAACGAGCTCGCGCGCAATCTCAGTGTCGCGCCTCCTCGGTATCCGCCATCTTGTCGGCAACCGCACCGGGACGCGCGAAGACTTATTACACGAAAAGAGTGTTACAGCCGATTTCGGATTTCCGCGAACGGAACAAATCAACCCCCCCTTCGCCTTTCCATTTTCAGATTCTTTTCCTTTCTGTTTTTCAGTACTAATTACTACCAAATTCCGAACTGAATGTGGAAGTTCGAAGTATGAACAAACGACCAAAAACAAGACATAGGACCAATAGAAGAGTCTCTTTGGGTTTCATTTTATTAATCTGTTGCTATACCGATTATAAGAAAAAGGTATTGCACATCGAAAATTAGTGAAAATTTTGAAAAGATTCTTCGATCTAGAAAAGAACGAAATTATTGAAAAGGGTTTGGAAGGGTCAAGTAACCTAGTAGAGGGAAAGAGAACGTAAAAGGCGATATTGGCTCAGCATTGATCATCAGATCGAGACGAATTTCGATAGAGCCGGCACGTAATTACTGGAGCAATTAAGGAAAGATAGACGAGAGGCCTAGTTCACGTGGAATCTTCCAACAAAGACACCGATAAAAAATTTTCGTTGGGTTCTCTTCGACGCGTGACCGAGAAATGCCGGCACACTTCAACCGATACCGCCACCGCAGAGGAATTAATGTGTTCGCGATATGACGCAACGTGCAGCGGAAAACGTGATTCCATTTCAACGATCGTGACCCGATCGAGGAGAGAGGACTTTTGTGCTTTATCCGGTAGTTCTTCTTATTTCGAATGTTTCAAGGCTTCACTAAGACATTAATTTTGTAGTGATGATATTTAGGTATTTTAATAATGTATTTTAATATCTTAATTAATGTAATTTAAGGGGCTTCGTTAATGTCTGCGAATGCCAATAATGAAGGTATGAATGAAGTTTAGTAAACTTTATGATTCGAATTAACACTAGTCGTGTATTAATATGTATCGGAAAAAGTAAAAATATATTATATGAGAAATTTTGTTATTTGGATATCTTAGGAAATATCGTGAAAATCAAGATTTGTTTTTGATACAAAAATATTTGTCACGTAGAGGTTATTCACCTATTCTTACATGACAAAATATACCAAGAAAAACCAACGTCTAGTTAGAGAATTCAGGAAGTGAAAAAGTTTCAGTTCCTAGATTAAAATAGAAACGGGTTCAGTACACTTTCGTAATAAGGAGTGGCTGGAAAAGGAAATATGTAGGTCTCGAAAAACTGCAATATCTCGAAACACGGGAGCATATAACTTTGAGCTTCCCGCCTTACAACTGCGGATACATATAATACAGGGATTCAAATGAACGAGATGAAGTTTTCCTTTGAACGGGTCGCTCGGAAATATATCGTGGTTTTCAGGTGTGAATTATTCATACGCAGTCACGAAATGACAAATCATCGCCGTGATGCATCTGCGACGGTGCACGCTAATGAGAATCAATGCGACGCGTACTCTGTGAATGCGACACGCGGATGTAATGGTGGCGAATGTATTACGCGCGAGTTTTCAAGATACCACTTAATCAGTATGATTTATGACACCTAATTTTGTATCGATTTTGCAACGGGAATATATTTGAAAACCAGTATTCATTGCCGACTTTAATTACTCCCCGCGTAAAACAAAAATAAAGTAATTTCATAAAATTGCTTCATACATTAATTCACCATTTAATCAAAACATTTTCATTCTTCCATTATTATTTCATTATTCACTGAAACGATTTCATCTTTCCGTTATGCCTTCGAGAATTTATAAATGTTCGATTCGTTATTACCGATATTATAAGATCCAATCGGTCCGAATAATAAAGTTCGAAACGCGATTCGAATTCGTTGGACAGCGCCATTGAAGTCCGTGTAAGAAGGTAATAATTTCCGCAAGATATTACTGCCTTTACGGGCTCGCGCTTTAACCGACCGTTTCTATTTTCCGGGAAATGAACTTGACTCGGCCGCGATTCACCGTTCGCGCGCTGGAAGGATTTGCGAACGGCGAAATAGAAAAATACGCGGCGTCGTTTCCAGTTCCGCCGGTGAAATTTATTCAATGAAATTCGAATGCACAGGAGAATCGCTGGAAGAAGGCCACTCGTAACAAAGAGCACGTAAATTTCATGAATCACGAGAAACTGGCCACCGTGTATTTTTAATCCGATGCTCGTTTAATCCCGCGCTTGGTTTTTTTGCTTTAAAGAAGTCATTCGTACGCGGAAATTTTGAGGCGGATTATAAATAACCAACTTCCAAGTGACAAATACAATATTGAATAATAATGCATTATATTAATAAAATTATATAAAATATAGTTTGAATAATAAATTTAACTACGAGTTTAATACATTTTGATTATATCAAATAGAACATATATAATTATAAAATCAACCCTTAAAATACTTTTAACCTTGCATCAAGTGTAAGTTTACTTCCATTCTCAACTCGAAACACTTATGTTTCCCAAATTACACCAGCGCAATGTGCAACCGACTAAAAATTATCCCCTAAACGGCGAATACACGGAAGTATCACGTAAGAAGCCGTGTCCAACCGCGCAGCAATAAAGTCGCTACTCTTTTTCCCTTCCGCGAGGAGTTCGCGCTCAGAACGCTGCGAGAAAAGAAAATAATAAAGCAGGGAGCAAAGAAAGAAGAGAAAAAGGATCGAGACAACGGTGGAAAACGTAAATCCATTCAGCTCGTTGACATTCGTAGCTGACCAACGGCGTAATATTTTCCATTTTCCTCCGGCGAAAGGAGAACGGAAACCCGGCGGGCTTCCGCTTTGAAGAACTCCGACGGAGAAACTTCTCCGTGCCCCCGCCGGCGATGCGCAAACAATCGGCCGGTTAAATATTAAACGCAGTGAATATTTTAATAAAGTTAAGAGCTGCGCGGCACAGCTGGGAGCCGTGAAATCGAACGCGGAAAAGGAACAGGAATAAGGGGATGAAAATTACAAGAATTCGAATTTCCATGACGCGTTTTCAATTTCATGAATTCAGATTCCGGAAACAATACAAAACAAGTTTCAGCTAAACGGAAAAATGTTTAAAAATGAACAACATAAATATAAGTATCTTAGAAACATTATAAAACGCTTCCGTAAAACGTTAACACGAAACCTACCAGCTAACTGACTGTTCGAATTTTCTCTATAGAAACTTCAAGACTGCATCTATCGAGACTTTAATTCATTTATAATTCAGTTCGCGTATTGCTAAATAAATTTCTTTAATAATTTCTCACAGAAACACCTGTTATCTTTTTATAATTGCAAAATGAAGAAATCAGCAATAAGTGATTTTGACCCGTCTGGTATGCCATGTAATGCCATGTCTATGTAGTTTCGGAATAATACGTTTTTCATTGTACAGTGAAACAATTTAAGGATTACGTATATTTCCCGAGGTTTCAAACGATTGTACGCGTTTTAGTTGCGCTGAACTTTTCAGTAGTCGTCGCTGTTGCAAAAGCGTGAACACGAAAGCTCCCGAGATTCAGTGCGACACGACGAAGTGACGCGAGCGGTTCTGTTATTCTATACGCAATCGAAAATAAAGCCGTTTAAGGGTAAAGCGGTTTAAGGGAACGAGCAACCCTCCTTGCTAACGGGCCGGGATTAAACGCGTAATCCGTGTCAAAGGCATCGACAGACTGAAGCCTTAACATGCTCCCTAGTCCTATCATCCCTGTTCGAGCGACAGCTTTGGCGTTTACACGTTTGTAAGTGGTATTAATGGAATCTTCGTACGGTCCAGACAAACGGCGTGATATTGGGGATGAGAAGATTTAAGCGATAAGAGTGAATGAAAATTAATTTCCCTGTAATCACAAGTCAACAAAATACTTAAATAGAAACATGTGTTCCTCGTTGATAGAAAAACATTTCACATAAAAATGTCTATATGCAAATGTTTCTATTATTAAGTTACAAATTCTCTCACTATATTAAAAGTGACAAATTTTTGTACATATTCAAAAACACTGGAGCACGCGTAATCCTATAAAAAGAACGAAATTAATGGGATGCTGAATGCGTTGATGCATCTCGAACGCTAATTCGAGCAGCTGTCCTTGTCCCATGATTTTAATGCCCGAAGGAAAAATATACGGAGAGGTACGTCGCGCTTTTAATTCCTCCTATTATCATCCAGACACGTACGAAAGAAAAATCCAAAAGAAGGAATCTGGAGAAGCTTATACGTATTTAAAGCAATTCACATTTTGTTCCACAAAAATAAGAGAATCGAATCAAATTCATTTATACTAAACGTCTTCTTATTAAATACAGTACTCGTACATATGAAACATTTATTCACATTTCATACCGGGAAAATATCACATTTCGTCCAAATTAAACAGAAAATATTAACCGAACCGTTTAAGGATAATAATTTCCCCGAAATCAAGTTCAACCTCGTTTCATCCCCTTTAAGCTCGCAGGCGAGTGACCATCCAACAGCCCGGTTAACCAGCCGTGTAACTTTGCGTATTATGGATCGTGGGCTGCGGAATTTCCGCGGGTTGAAAAGGTTACCGCGTTGTAAGGTCGAGCGTTTGTCCACTCCACTGTTTAGCGGAATGACTAACGTCGTCGGACACGTTCGCTTGCGCGTCGGTCGGCCCAGGAACAGGCCGAAACAAAGAAACGCGAAGATTCATGGGACAGTCAGGGCGCGGCGTCCCGTTTTTCTCGACCAGTCCCCGGAGTACCCGCGTGGTAATTAAATTTCCTGTCGTTCCGACGCCGTTTCGAGAAACCGCGAACAGCTCCGAGGAATAAGTAGTCCTCCATCGACGCGACCTGGGGCCGGAAGTTAAATCCTGCGCGACGTCCATTGTTCACCGTCGAACGCAGCAGAATAGGGATTCACGACGACCGAAATCCAATTATATTTCGGCGCCGGAAGATTTAGAATATACGGGCACGCGTGTACCGCCGATCGGTGCTCGAAGGATTTCAGGGATTCTACGTTAATACTTCAAACGTATTTCACGTATGACAGCTTTTAACGACTGTGGACTGGAAGTGATAGACTGAAGATTAACGCTAAATAACTGTGATACGATAGGCTTCGATAAAAGAATAGTGGACTTCAGGATGAAATATCGAGTGCCGAGTGATACGAACATTTCTGACGCCATATTTTCAATCCCTGATATTTTCGCGTTGCCATTGTTTTATACAATACTACCAAATAGATGCGAAACGTTTAAACTATAATACATTACGCAGCTTTCCAAGCCAACGAGGACAATTTCAGAACTGCTGAAACGAATCTTCGTAATCCTAATTCCCCGAGTTCGAAATCGCATCACGAGAAACGACCCCTAGGATCCAACATTCGCATCGGACCACTACCCTGTTGTAAGTACCTTGTCATCAGAACACCAGTCGCGAATTAACCCTTGCCGGCTACTTGCCGCGAATCGACTACCACGATCGCCAGCGTTATTAACTTTCATCTGAAATCTGGGTAACCCCGTGGAGCCAACAAGGGTTAACACCAAAGGAAGAAGCTCCCGAAATACCCTACCAGGCCACAGCGTGAAAGAAGAAGGACCGCTCACCTTGGTGATGAGATCCTTGGCACGGCTCTCGAACAGATGCTCGAGCTTCTGCGTGTCAACAGGTACCGGGGATAGCTCGTCCCACACCATCTTGTTTTTGTCGAGCCTGGACAGTATGATAGGATCGTCCCTGACCTCCTTCCAAAACAGCTTCACCGTCTTCTTGCTCTTCTTGGTGAAGGTCGGCGGCGGGCTCTTCGGTGTGTTGCCGGTCTCGTTCGCGGTCGGCGACCTCGACGACTTGAGATTCACGCCAAACAGCGGCGGCGGTGCCTGCGGGAGCGGCGGTGGCAGCCTGGCGCCCAAGGGCGGCGGGGGTGGGGCACGAGCGCCGCCTGCGGAAGGCACCATGGGTGGCGGCGGCGGTGGCACGCCATTGCTCACGTTCACCGGGCCGAGAACGTCAACCTCGTCGTCGGTGTTCAGGTCGGTGAAGTCCAGGTCGCACAGCGCCAGAGGTCTCTTCAGCTTCTTCACCAGCTCCTCCCAGTGCAGCTCGTTCTCCGACTTCTTCGTCTCCTGCAGCTTCGGCAGGTTGTCGCTGGTTGGTGACTTCAACACGTCCGCCTTCGACTTTGACTTCGCCAGGCCCTCCTTCGCCTTTGAGATCAGACCACTCATGTCCCCTATCCTGCAGACGAAGATTGAATCAGGTGATTGGGTGATTAAGTCACTTTGGGAACGGTATCCCAATTAGGAATTGGAGACCTTTGTTGTTTGATACGTGTCCGTGATTGACCCGTTTGTTTTATAAGAAATCGACCTTTGGGTATGGGTAGAAGTGATTTGAGCTTGACAGTTGTAGATCGTATAGTTTGGAAGAGCTTATCGAAATAGGAAATAATGGAAATGAATAACAATTACAAAAAGTAGTATTTTGTAATTTCAGAATCAACTTGGTAGGTTAAACAAGAGGTTTCTTTGAAAGATGCATTGTATAAGGCATGGAGGTCTAACAGCAAATTTGCTCAGATGTAAATTCATTTAGAGTTACAAGGAACCTAATGTCAATCAATGTATATCGATAAAGAAAAGGATTAAGAGTAATAATTAATATGTTAAGTACTGTCATACGGTCGATCGATTGTATCGTATTGGAGAAAATGAAGATTCAATTTGTTTTCATCGGAAACATGGTAGAATTACCTGGAGACCTTCTCCTCGACCGGGCTGCTGGGTATAAGATTTTGAGCCGCCAGCTTTTGTGTGAGGTCCTTGACGGTTCCTTCCCTCTTCAGCTGTAAAACCACTCGACGATCCTCATCCTCGTCGGTGTGATTGCCCTCGTCGCACTCGACACCCTCGTCGGGGCTCTTCCCGTACCACGGTTTCTTCTCCTCGGAGTCGAGCTTGTTCGCGGCGTTCATCAGGGGCGTCAAGTCCTTCCTGCTATTCGTCCTGGACAACTTGTTCGATGGCGAGTCCGCGTTTCGGTCGTACGACGTGCCGTTCGTGTAACGCAGTCCGTTTGTCGGGAATGGACCTTCGCGGAGTCAAAAGAACATTCGGTGTTTTATTATGCAATATACTGTTTCTTATTTTAAATAAATAAATTAATAATACAACAATGAGACATTTCTAAAACATTGTATTATGCGATCACAGAACTTTCTCCCAAGAGATTTATAAAAACAGAAGAGTATTTTGAAAATCGGCGAGAAAACTTTAATAAATTGGTTTACTAAAGCGTAGTTTATTGGTTCTCTACTGGGAATACTGTAAAAATAAGAATATTCTTATTGTAATTAACTAATCTCGTTGAAATTTCCAAACGTAACAGTTTATATTATTACTGATCAGTAATAATTAGTTTTTGTTAAATGATCATTCGTTGAAGCAGAAAATTGCTGTTGACGTTGCCGTTAGAAGTTTCAAAATTTGATTACTAACTTTCCTGATCGTCCGAATGGCCCACGGACGCTCGCATGTTCGCCGTAGCCTCTTGTTGCTCCCTGATAAAGCTTCTCTGTCTCTCGGCCCGCTCCCGTCGTCGTCTTAACGCCGGTGTCACGCCAACATCCACTGAAACCGGCAATAAATCACTTCTTTTCTCAACTGCTTGCCACCGATACGCTCTGTTCCGATCATTTCCCGCGACCACGTATAAATTACTATTTACCAAGCCAACCTGGCTCGATGTTCATCCGTGTTCATTCTTTTGGAATCACACTGATCCTATCTCTATATTGATTTATAGCTCAAGATATACCTATAGATCCGGGAAAGCCGAAGATAGTTCCGCTAAATTCGATTCGCCAGCGATGTTCGACCGCGACGATGATGTTAAACGTCTTCACCAGCCGATTGGTTGTATTTCATTATTTATCATTTAAATAATATATTTTTTATATTATAAAATATATTTATATATTTTTTATAATTTATACGTTTTATTCTTTAGCATTCATCAAATGGAAAATAATGATAAAGTAATAGAATCAAGCAATATTTTTCAATTGTATTCGAATTCTAATAATTTTATTGCGGATTACTAAAACAAATCCTTCCGAGATCTAAATAGTACGGCACATTGCAGACTGGAGAAATATGAGATTACAATGAAATTCGATATTGTTTATATTCCGTTCGCGTACCGCAGTCACAATAAAAACCAAAACACAATTAAAACTGGTCAGTACTCTGACAGGAATATCCACACATTAAAATCGTCGATAGAAATAAATGCAACTGCAAAGTTGCCAAACTACATAAAAAAAATTTTTATCTCGATATTTCTTTACTATAAGGAATAACAGATGATGTATATATTAACCCTTTGCACACGGAAATCACCTGTCAAGTGAAATTTCAAATGTAACATCAAAATCTCCGAGTGTAAAGGGTCGAAAGCTCAAGATTCTCGTGACAGTCAATACGTTAAATACACATTTCGCGCTAAACATTGCAGTCCAACGAATTTCTCACCGAAAAAAAGCTCTAGCGGAATACAACGCAACTGATAAGAGTCTGTAGAAGCTCGTTACGGCTCGCTCTTGACCACGACACTGTCCCGCGCGTTTTCCGCGGCGGAACGGGGCAGTCCCCAACGAGCTGGACCGCGCATTCCGCCCCATATCGGACGGCCGCGCGTTGCATCCGCAATGGAACGCGCCAAGGGGGAACTGGGAAACCGCAAGGTCTCGTTCCCGGGCCGGGGGACGATCCGTTAACGCGGAAATCGCCGCTCGTGGGCGACGAAGTTCGTATTCATCGCGCGGTCGAATCGTTAACGAGCGGATTTGCGGGCCGCGCATCGATGACAAACGAGCGCGCGAAACCGGAAGAGAACGTTTCCAATGATCCCGAGGGGAATCGCGGCTAGACACACAGATACGGTAGAACCTCTATTATTCGAATTAATTGGGACTGAGATGGCTAGGATGATCAAACAGCGAAATGTAATTAATTTTCGAAACTTCTTGCAAGTCAACACCGGAACAACCGCGCAGTCTAACTGACTTTTGCTCAATTTTTGAATGAGAACTGTATCGGTTCATTCATTGAAAATTCAATAATGAGTTAAGATATAAGTTTGTAGTTATTGAAAGAAAAAATCAGGGATCATTCTAATTCACCTGGTAATTCTAGTATTAACACGTTGACTGCCAAGAAAATTTTTAAGCGTTTTGTTATAGTAAGATTTATTTCTTTATGACAGAGGAAAATAGTATTACAAATAATTATGAATGTTCTAGTATTACAGTACTCATGTTACACTATTATGTAGCTTTTGGTGTTACTAAATATTTCGATTCAATACCAATTTTCTTATTGTAATTGTTTTCAAGCAATTTGGAAGCTCCGGTGAACACCGTGGCAGTCAACGTATTAAACGACATGTTTTGAAATGATAATATACATTTGTTATACGCATCTATATGTTGGAAGTATGAATATTAAAATAGTAAATATGTGCATACTCGATTACATACTTACAATGGAAATAAAATTTATTCGGGAAACAAATGAAAAACGGTGCTGGTTAGATTAACTGAAAGCTCCGATAATCGAGGTGCTACTGTAGATAGATAGAGGTAGCAACTGATTGCATAGCGTCCCCTTTACCTTTGTTCTCCTTGTAGCTGCCGTTCAATTGGACCTCGCCGAGGTGACCCTGCGAGCTCTGCGAGCTGCTCGATTCGTCGTCGTCGTCCGGCAGGCTCGAGTTCAGCGTGTTGTTCAGGGAGTTCAAGCCCAGCGAGTGGTTCAGCCGGGGACTCAGCCGGGCGTTCAAGGACATCGACAGTGGGGACGTGCCCGTCGAGTGTCTGCGGGATTTTCGACGCTCGTGCGAATCCACCAGCGACTTACGGTTCCGCAGCGTCTTCCTGGGGAATTAACGCGGGATTTCGACGATTACAATTTGTTGATTCTATCGATCGCCCAATTCAATTCCGCGGATGAACCGCGGCGGGGCAATGTATTAAATGGGAAGAGATTTTCCTGCGGAATCTTGTGTAAATTCGTGAAACGTCGGATAACTCATTCAAATTTCTTCCTTCTTTCGTGAAAACGATTTAACACTTCTATTAAACACAAGAAAGTAAATTTAAAAACGCGAATTTACATAAAAGTTCAGAACTACGAGGTAATCTCCTTGTTGATTAGAGTACGTTTCAATAGTCGAGAGGTGACGCTCAGTCATCACTCGACTTGATACAGTAGAATTATAAAGATTGATATTTAATAGTAAACTACGTATAATGCATCGATACGTGAAATATTTAAATAAAATATTTTTGTTAAAATACCTTTTTTACCCGTATTTCATTAGAAAATGTCAAATATTTCTAGTGAAGAACTTCCGAGTGCAAAGTGATAATATCTTTTCAGATATTCGAAGTATTCTTATCCTGAATATCGAAAATTTCATTGATCCTCAAGGTTCAGTTATTAGATATATCAAATTACTTAAGAAAAACACATCATTTTCATCATTAACATTAATCATTATCGCGAAATGAATACCTGATATTGTCGTCCAGTTGCCGAATAGGCGATCCCCTATCGTTCCCATCCTCATGGTGCAACACGGCTTCGTAGATTTGGAACTGCCTGAGCAGGTCCAAATCAGTGCCCTGCTTGGACATGTACCTCTGGATGATGCCCTCGATCCCTTGCTCCTCGAGACAGTCCACCTGATCGTAGTAGGTGTCCTGATCCGGTATGCCGTTTAAACATTTGTTGACCAAGGTGGTGGCGTAGATCAGAAGTTCCGTGTCAGCGGCGTCGTAGTCCTTCAGCAGCTTCATCACGTTCGTCCAGGGTATCATACCTCTGGACGTGTCCACGGAGCGCACCGCCCTAACCAACAGCAGACTGTTCGTCTCGACGTACTCGACGAACACCAGCAACAATTTCAGAGCGGTCTTCACGACTAAACGGAAGCGGCTGGCGATCAGCGTGTACAGCCACTGAACCGTTTGACCGTGTTCCATCACGCCATTCATACCGTCCACGTACAGCATCACCTGACCGAGAGCTACGACAAGGAACAAAAACAAAAGAAACTGAGTGAATGGTCGAGAGATCGTTTTAGGGGATGAAATGTAAACTCAACCTGTTTGAGGATGAGGATTTTTTTCAACAATTATTTATAATCTTCGGTGCGTAATGTGAATAATGGTCATCGAGTAAATTCGGAAATTAAAGCTTCCGAAATAATACTTTAATCTCCATTTTTATGAAGAATAATTTTGTGGATGAGTGAAATGTTGAAGCTTTTGAAAGATATTTTAATTGAAAAATGTGTTTCATATTTCCATTGGATATTTTCATTAAATATATTCGCGCACCGAGGAAAGTTTATTAACGCCAGAAAAATTTGGAAAACGGAACAAAGCGGTGGTCGGAACAACTCTAACATCCCTGCAGAGTCTAACTCGCCGCGCGACCTGGTTAAATGTACACGTACAGGCGAACGGTTCATCAATTTCGCATGAATCATAACCGTGGTAGTCTCTTTGTCTTCCCGTACAACGGGGACCGTCCCACCTTCGACCCGCGTTACAACTTTTCGGTAAAAAACACCGGGAAAAAGCATCGCCGCGCCGACAGCCAGCGGAAATATCCAATGAGAAGCTTTTGTCGCGTTCTCCGGCGAAGCTTGCCACCGGCAGAATAGTAAAATCCATCAATTGTCTGGTCTGCTCGCGATCGGCTCCGATCATTTTTTGTTTGCCGCGCGATGCCGCGCGAAACTTTCTGTTTTTCTCTTTCTACCGCCACGAAAGCAGAATTGTGGTTGCTCTTTATTTCAAGTTCGACCTTCGGTTAATTCAACATTGTCGAATTTTTTTTCTTCGGTACAGGAGAAATTAATAGACACTCTCGTATGACAATTCAAAATTGCCACCATTCAAAATCCATCCAATTTAATACTAAATTGAACATTCTTGGTATTCAAATAAATAATGTTAGATTTCAAAATGTAATTTAAAATTCCGTATACTTTTCAAATGATTATTTCAATTGTAAACTTTACTCTCATTTGCCGCGCTAATTAAACTTCAACCGTCGTTTCAGAGTCTACTCCAGATTTCACCATTCTATTGCAGAACATGCGCCGAACGAGATTTTCAACTGAGCAACGTGTTTTCCAACAAGAGGCCATGTTTGTCCATTCACCGAAATGCAATTATGCAATAGCGACGAAGAAATATTCGCAGAATTCACGCGTTGGTAGGCGTTCGTGCCGAAAAATGTTCAGCCGCGCGTTCGCGCGTCGGTTAGCCGACGGATCGAGCAACGGCAACAACAACAAGAACAACAACTATTTGTGAACAAATTATGAACGCAAACGCGGCCGTGTCAAAAGTTATAATTTACTCTGGGCGGCCGGCTACAAGTTCTAATTGAGTCGCGCGCATAGCTACGCGACAATTAATTATCTGGCACACAGTGGATTAACCAGTTCTCTATGCGAACGTAGTACGAGTAGACGCGCAGGTAATCGCGGTAAACAGCCCTTATCGGCGATAAAGCAGTGTTTACCGGTGGGCAGGTGGTTCGCATCTCCTTCGGACGGTGTTCTTGCTTCTCGTCTCGTCTCGCGTTGCGCGCTTGCTCGCTCGCTCGCCCGACTTCACGATGAAACTCTCGTAAATAATGATAATGGCCCTTTTCTGCCGCGCTTCCGTTTCATTGGACGGCACCCTTTGCCTTGAGAGGGGCCGCGTTATCGAGATATTAAGAATTCCCCGCGGTTTAACGGCGGCCGCACTTTGCATTGCCGGCAGAATCGATGATCTTGTCCGGGCTTACTCGATACATTGTACACACTGGAATTTTATGGACCACTTTTATGTAATGGCCTGCCCCGCTCGGAAGTCAATTAGCAAGTTTCACAGCATTTGGGATTTTTATTGGAAACAAGAGTAATATTGGGCTCGCCGGAAAGTCTAGTCGGTTTCCTCTTCGATATGGAGTTCTATTATAACGCGCGGATAAAAATTATAAATAAATAAACTGAAAGGCAATCGAAGCATTCGAATGAAATACACAACGCGTGGTTCGATGGAGGTCGACTTCACGAAGCGAAAGTTTTCTTTAAATTTAGATTTTGCGGCGAAGTACAGTAGAATCTAGATTATCCAAAGTTTTGATTCAATTGGAAATAAATAACATAAATGTTTAGATTGTATTGATGAATATGAACGACACAATTTTGCAAATATGTTTTGAACAGTTTCTTTTCAAGTCTACATTCATCTAGACCCTTAGTCACTCAATTGAATCGGATAATCGAGGTTCCACTGTACCATCGAATAAATTGATACGTTCCATTGCTCGGAGAGGACTCGAGATTTTGATCCATGAGCATTTCTAAAACGCACCGCGTTAATGATGCTGTGGATGAAATTCCACACCGGGTGCGCTCTTTTTCGTTGTAGAAATTAATAAGTTAAATAAATTGAAATTACACGTTTCTTTTCTTTCGTGCTCGCTTTTAGTGCTCGCCCAACACGGGCATGGAGTTTCTTTTTTCAATTGCGAATCTATTATTCGACATATTTAATTCGGGCAGTAAATTTATCCATCTTGGATTACGTTCTTTTTATTAGTTCTTTTCTCCGTTTCTCCTCGTGCGCGCATTCACCTTGCTTCCCATTGTGTTACTCTATATTTTATGATATTACATTGATCCGCGGTGAACCCTGCGCATTCACTCGGCCACCACTGATTTCCAGTTACCGTTCGCGCTGGACGTACATTATTTTCTATGAAAATCAATACTCGCGTAATTTCTTCTTGTCTCGGACACGAGGCAGTTGAATTTTTCAACAGGCGTCACATAACTCACCCTGTTGTAATTTAACGTTAATCCTTGTCCACCGTTCGTGGTAACTTCAATAGAAACGCGTGCCCGGCGTCTAGCGTTTCTTTGCCCGGTTTCGTCAGAAATTCATAAATGAATTTCATTGTAATGCGTGTAATCGCTTTTCGACATTCCCATGTGCCTATATTTCATCGAGTTTCATTAATTTAACTGTAACTTCCACATAGCTTTCTAGAAACGAATGTGACCATTGTACGAGCGGAAAGTGAGGACTGAGAATGTTATGCAACGGGTGACGCCTGAATATTGAAATGAAAGTAAAGAGAAACGCCGAAGGGAAGAAATGTATCCGCCATTGAATGAAATAAAATTCACCTGAATATTGGTTTTATCTATTAATCTCATTATCAATCGATAGAAGGCTGCAATACGCGAAAAAATATTGTAAATAAGTAAACCGGAATGTTTAACGAAGTTTCATGTAATGGTTGCGAAACTTGCCTTAAGAATTTTTTAAAAGAGTACGACAGAACTTTTTCGCTTACATAATATTTTATTGTAAATGTATAAACTTCACGTTACATCTGCATTGAATATAGAATTTCTCATTCTGTTGGAAAATTATTAAAAACAAAGCAATTCCTGCGAGAACAGTTTCCGAAGAAACTTTAAACCGGAGGAACAAGAAGACGAGACGATAAGAGACCACTGGGAATACAATTTCTCTAGGGTGCAGTATATTTCTCATCGTGATGCGGACTCCGCCGCCTATGCAAATGGGTTAAATCAGCGAAAACCCGTTACGGAACCGGCGGATAATGGAACTATTGTGTCGATCGAATAAAACTTTTCTCCGGCAGAAAGATCGACCGGCCGGAAATTTCCGTTTAATTGATTCCGTGCCTGTCACTCGTACCACCGGCCGGATTCTGCTTCCGCGAACGTCTTTTTCGACTAATTATCAGTCACCTGCGATTACCCTTGATTACAGGATCCTTGAATGATCTCTCGAAAATGTGAACGATTCGAAAATAACTGTAATATAACGAATAAACTGATAATAATTGCAAGATTATTAAACGATACATGTATTATTCTTATTTCAAAAATATTGGTACAAATACAGAAGTTTACTTGAGATCTTAAGGAAATGGAACATGAACTGTTTTTGTTTCTTTTAAGAAAATATACATTTCTGGGGTAGCTATTGAAATAATCGTTTAGAGTAATATACAAGAGGACGATTTTTAAACGAACGATGACGAGACACGTAGCGTTTAATTTCATCACGAGCGATAAAGCAGCAAAAGTTGCGTGAAAAAGTGAACTGCACGTGTTGCAAGTCATCCATGTCCCGTCAGAGTTTATTACTCGTTATGACTAATTACCAAGGTAGATTAACCGGCAGAAATGATTACCAACTCGAAAGCGGTAATTTCGACTATGTTATACCGGCGTCCAAGACGTTCCATTATCCATTTAAATTAAATGAACTTTTCGCAACGATGATCCTGCTGCGAAGAGAACTATCTTGACGTCCTGACTTCTTCGGTCGTGCACTCAACGGTTACAAGTATCTTCAATACACCAAGTCACATGACAAAAAGTTTGTACGATATTCAAAATTTGTAGAATATATCTTTGGAAGAAGAAGAAGAGAATACATAATTGAAATTTAATCTTTATAAGGATTCAAAATCCGGGAAAAAAAAGGAAAAAATGAAAACAGAGAAGAAACGAAGAGTATTGATTGAATAGACTGTAAGCAAGTGTCAGCATCAAATTTTTCAGCAGAAAGAGAGTTACCTAACGTTACGTTGAATGTTATGTCATAATGATGCCATCTTTCAATGTTGCTAGTATTCTAGGTGATTGTTATTGTCGATGAGTATTTAGAACAGAAGAATTCCACTTAAATTATATACCACAGGATATGAATAGAAAAAGATTTCCAGTTTCGCTGGTTACACTGTTTTCCACGGGAACTGTTGAAACGCGTATATATCATTCACGAGACAACTCGATGATCGCCGTTATCCAGCGTTCATGCTCGTCTAGCCGTGATTTATCCAGGGCACCGGCGAACGGAAAAGAAAAGAGAAAAGGGAGAGGAGAATGTTAATGCGGTAATTATGCTAATAATAAACATTACACGGCATAATGCGTTTAACACTCGCCACTCTGCCGCTGCGGCAGTGATTTAA